CTATTGACTGCTCCCGCTCTTTACCCGGTACTTTTTAACCCCGGGAAAAGATTATTTCTATTGTCTTGGAGAATCAAATTCGATTTGGAATTTGAACGAAACAGAAATAGATATGTTCGATAAATAGATGAACTTACTATGTTTCCAACAGTGAGCTCCATATGTTGACCCTCTTTGGTAGTATCAGTCTGTAAACTTGAGTCCGGTCCCACGGTGGAAATAAGTTGTCGACAGACTGTCATGGGTGCAATTCGAACGTTTGATGTATCCACCGACTGTATCTGATCCAAATCTGTTCGCACATCAGAGTGCGAACCGCAAGAGATTGTATCGGCCTGGGGGAGCATTTGATTCCGATTGTTTGACTGTGTGGATTGTTCAGTTGTATCTTCTGATTCCCAATGTTCATCTTCATAATCCCGTTGATACTCCACCTCTTCAGCAAGCTGTGACGGATATTGTGGTAAAGGAGGTCGTTGAAGCAGTTTGCCTGTCATATCGGAATCATCTTCCTGCAATTCGTGGATTTGTTTTCTGTGAGGGAAAAGTTCCCGAGCATACAACGTCGGAGGATCCTCTTCTTCTTCTCCTTGTTCTTCTTCTACTTCATCATCTTCTTGTTGTTCCACTTGTTCATTACAGAGACTCTGTTGATCAGTCACTGTAGAAACCAGACACAGTTGACTGCTTTTCACTCGAGGAGTTTCAAGCTTACATGCGGTTTGAGGGTCCGCTTCCTCCTCGAACTGAGATTGGTACAAATCGACTGACAGAATAATATCTGGTTCAGGTAACGGCTGAATTAATTTACAAACAGGTAAAGCTCCCACCAACCAATCGGGCATAAATGTTAGACTGGCACTGGCTACACTCAACAGAGTGGATCGGATTGAACCGCGACTACCGGCCGACAAACAACTTTGATCGTGATCTGGCCCATAAATTTCCTTTACATGTATCCAAGGGAGGAGTGATAGAGCTTGGATCCTAAAACAATCAGATGGCGACAGATAAATCGATTGGTAGCTAAAATGCCGTATGTTGGATAATCCTGATAATGCGGATAAAAAGGTCAATATTTTCCATGTTATGTCTGCTTTTTATATATTGTTCATGTAAACTTTTAGTGTAACTGCTCTTTTGGTTTATAAGCTGCAAGGTTTTAAACAAAATGGTTTTATACCTTACATCCATATGAACTTTCCAACGCATTATTCGGAGCCTTCAATTCAGTTTTTATAACCATTAACTATGCAGTTTTGTGCGGCGGTTCTGATTATTATTTCTTGTTTGCTCATTTGGATGAAGGAGTAAAGGAAAGATTGGAGTGTTAAAATCAGCGACAGCGTGAAAACAGAGGTTTGATGAAGACTAATGCCGCATGAATATTGATGAGATGCGCGAGGGACCCTATTTGCGACAGAGCCATTTCGTTCAGTGTCTCTAATCATCTATTGCAATCATCACAAGGTCCCCATTAGGGAACATTAACATGATCCAGGTAAACAAACTTCCTGGTCAGGTTTTTCATGCCTTTACTTCAGAGATCTTAGTGTGACCACCCTTGACTTTTTACCCACGAACTGCCTCCACAAACCGCGCGTATTGGTAATCGATGAATTGAAATGTGCAACACATGCCCTAGATAACTAAATCTATGGAGGTCGACCACCTGCTTTAGTAGATGGTCACGGTTGCGTAAAACTCTTCGCCTAACATCAGCATTGCATGTCAAAACTTCACAACCAGCCGGATGTCACGATGGATCCCTGGATGCTTGAACTTGGCAAATGCTAATCGAGCCTTTGTGTGTGTGTGTGTCGAAACTTCATCTGTGACGTAAGCGCCGGGTGAGATATAGTTGCCCAGACAGCAGGATTTGTTGTTCTTCTCTTTTATTATCCAATTCACATTGAGAATGGGAGCTGGACCGAGGAATACTGTGGCAACAGTTTACACTTTGAAGGCAAAAACGTCTGCCGAAAAGAGCTACACTAGCACTCAAATTTTCCAGAAAACCTTACAACTTAATTGGGTCCTCACTTAGCAGTACAATGTCATCAGCATATTCTAGATCCATCTGACACCAAGGAGCAGATCGATGGTTCTCTCCTCGTAGGAGGAGAGAGCCGTTTCCAGAATCAAATCAAATAGTTAAGTAAAATAGAAAAGGAAGAAAATTACAACCTTGAAGAACCCCTTTTTGAGTGGCGAATTCGGGAGAAAATGTCCGTAGGCTCAGACTCAGCTTCGGCTATTAGTACAAAGGGATCGCACTATTGAAATAAATCTCTAGGACAGACTATTCAGGGAAAGGCAGCCACAGAGTTCAAAATTTCATGTTTTTCAACAGAACAAATAGAGCGGTTTCATTGAACTGGTGTATGAAGAGCGAAAATCGCCTACGGTTTTTTCGACTGATCGAGGTGAACTATGGAAGAAGATAATCCCCCACCTATGCGCTTTCTCTTGAAGTGCACTGTTTAAATGCGGAATTGGCAATTCAAAATCACGAAGTAATGTTTAACCAAAAATTTCAATGAACATCAAATTTGTCAAAGTCTAATTTGTGACTTTACAAATTTAAGACACAACACCTAGCTGTTATCCTTGCTCAGCCTCAGTACGGTAGGGGGTCTTAAAGTTTGACCGATCAATTCTCAGACTGCTCCTATACAATCAAGTATTTCCGATAGACTGAGGCTGAGGAAGCCTGACTCACTGCCTTCACGTGGCGGTGTTTTCCGGTAGAAATAAGAGAACGAAAAACCAGCATCAGGGGATAATACCTAATCGGATAACCACGGACAATTCACCTAAAGGACTTGGCTAGTAACCTTGATTCTCTACCA